GTGCTCGAATTCATCACCACCACCGACCGTACCATGGCGCCTAACAGGCACTTCATCAATTCCAAGCGACCCGATTGGGCAACGTTTACCACCGAAAGCGAAGCTGAGATCGATTTTCTACCGCCTCCAACCTGCGTTCACACGGCGGAGCGAACCCTTCGTCCACTGCTTTTGACAGCAGCAAGTCAGCAAATCCCGAATGGCCGCATTCCCCTACTTCATCCCACCTATCCACTGAAGTCTCCAGCCTGGAACGCAAGGGAGATGACATACGAGTACGTGATTTTAATGACCCGCGCATCGGCTACCTGAACGGCTTGATTATCAAGATCGTTAACGACGGCATACACAAACGTTGGCATGAACTAGTTGCAGATTACAATTTCCGCCGCAACTTATCTGCCACTTGGAAACTTCTACGCAATCTGACCAAGCCCCGGGTTGACACATTTAACCAGTCTATCAGCTTTGGGAACGGCAACTTCATTTCGAACGACAGCAAAATCGCCACAAAGATGAACAAATTGTTCTCGCCTCGCTCGGTGTCCAGTCCCAAAAGTCAGCTCTCGCTTCTTGGTCTCCTCAATAAGGCCCCCGCCCCGGGCATTTCCTTCTCTGCTGATGCTATCCGCGCCGCTGTTAAGAAAACGAAAGCTTCGAAAGCCCTAGGACCAGATGGCCTGGCGCCTCCTCAGGCCAGCAGTTTTGATGGACCTGCTCGCAACCCGGCCATCCTAATCCCTACCGTTGCCACGTTCCTTAACCCCGCCGCAGCGTTCGCCCGTCTATTAGAGCTATCGCTTCATGTCTCCCATATCTACCTTTTGATGGCTCGGCAAAAGTAGTTTATGTAGTCCCACTAATTAATTCCTCCTTCCAGCATGTTGTCTTACGAAAACGGTGTTTATGGGGTTTTGTGGGTGGGGAATTAGGGTACACAGTGAAATATGTTTTAATAACTGCTATATTCATTTCTATTGTATTGTATTTGGAGGTGTTGTTGATTTATATCTGTAGATTTTCCTAATCTGCATTATCGTTTAACGTATTGCGGAAAAACCCAATTATCAAATTGCAGGTTTCTTGAAATCCCCGAAAAATAGAAATGGTGGTTATGTCGTCTACTTCAACTTACCTGAGGTCCAACTTACCGTTCTGGAGTTAGATTGGTAAAGCCCGCGGCGCTAAGCGCCGCGCACACCTTGAAATTACTTGCAAAACAACTTATTCCCAACGGCCACGGAAACAACTTCGACTACATTTTTTCACCTAACACTTTCTTCTAAAAATTTCCGTCTCTGCCTATCCTATTTCCCCACTCCCAAAACCCTATAACCACCGTTTTCGTGAGACAAAATGCTGGGACTAGGGGTATATGAGTGGGACTACACAAGCTACTTTTGCCGATGGCTCTGCTATCATGAAAGGCTTCCAGCGTCTTCACCAGAAAGCCGTTGTCGACTCAAAACTCAGCTACCAGTCCACGGTCCTTTTAGGCTGCCTTCTACATCCGATTGCGGCTTAGGAACGACAACTCTCGAGGGCCACTCGCTGTACCTTGGCTCAAATACGCAGTGGCTACTCCATGCTCCTTTGCCAGTACAGACACCGGCTCGACCCGTCCAAATCCGACAGCTGTCCTGGTTGTGGCGTCTCTCCGCATTACTATCAGCATCTTTTCGCCTGCAGTTCCCAGCCAGGCACCCAACTAACCAGCGTGGACCTCTGGCTCAAGGCGGTCTTCCAACTACAACCAATTTGGATTCGTGCGGGGACTTTTGATCCAACAAGGGCTACGATACACACACACATACGAGGTTGAGCACAGCGACCGATAGATCCCGGATTAGGGTGAGGGAAGGCTGATTTGCGTTCCTTTCTCGACACACCCAGAATTCAGCTCTGCGTGAAACTAACAAATTTAATATGGGCCTGGCAGGATTGCTGTGCAACCACGAAGACATAAATGCTGGAATGTAGTGATACTTCAGCCCTCCTTCTGTCTCAGCTGAGTAAATATGTCAGTAATAATTACAGCTGACAAATGCGGCCAGTTGGGGCCATCATATTTTTGGTTTTGCTCCTAACAGGCTTCGTAAAAAAACTGTAGTAGCAACGCCTGCCGTTTCCTGCATTACCGGCCCCTAGGAGAACCACTTCCGAATCCTGTTCTCTGCAAACTGAC